GTCCCTTGAGGGATAATCGGGGTTTGGACATCATTCTTGCAGCCACTCAAATCATCACCGTCCACAAGTCATAGTCGACATTCTACAAGTCATCGTCCTCAAGTCATCGTGCACAGGTCATCACTTAACAAAGGCTAAAACTGTCATTTAAACGCTAAATAATATTTCTAAATAACCCTTATTAATATTTGACCCAAGTTTTATGTACTGTAAATAACTTACAATGGCAAATTCAAATTAAAGAAAAATGTTTTAGTTATCACTCCAGATGTTACAATTTTCTTTCAATTTTAACCATAACTTAATTAAAATTAGTATCAGCGTGTTTTATTTAAATCTGACCTTCATTTCTGGTGCAAATTAGCGTTTTGGGGGCAAAACATAATTTTTTTATTTATAACAGAAACTGCTAATTTACAACAAAAAATCTAACATTTTTTTGGAGCTAACCTACTCCTGTGGTGGACGGTACACTTATGGCTATAGACAACAGAATTTCCGTCTTTTCTTAGAAGTAAATAATTTCCACACGTAGGACACAGTCTTGATGTTGGTAGGACACCGTCATCTTGAAATATTTGGATTGCTTCACTGTTGTTCTCATAAACTCGCTGAATACCAGGTAAATTAGGGAAAGAACACTTTTCGCGTGTCATCACCAGCCTTAAAAATTCGAAGTTCACGGTGGACGGCTGCTTCACAGTGTGCCACATTTTTAAATAGGAATCATCGTACTGGAACTTCAAATTTATCGTTTTTCAGTAGAATTATGGTGTGTTATTAAATAATTTTTTTAGTTATTGCACTCCCAAGCATCATCATTACGTGTACCTAGGGTTATTTATTGAAAACTTCCCATTATAATTTTCTTCATGTAATGAGGGATCCTCCTCTCACACATTGCACTATTTGAACACAGACATAAGATTCTCTGATCACTGTACCTGTCGTGGGTGTATGTCACGTGAGGATACGAGGTGTATTAAGTTCATACCGACGCATACAAGATATTTCCTTTCAAGTATAGTTTCTGGGTCACTTCCAACACCTCACATAGTTCTGATACATTTATCCTTTTTCCAGACCATTGTTCTCATGTATTTTCATATGATATCTGTGGAAGTTATGTTCGCTACACTCTCACAGACGTAAATAGTATGACGTTCAAACCCTGATCCACACTTAGTCCTACAGCACACTAGTCCGGCTCAACTGGACTTTAACATTCATCTTATGGATACCCTGAGTTCTCCTTAATGCTATGAATACATACAATTAATATGATATAACTGTACCTGGGTACAATACAACACATGGTCTAGTAACATTGAGTAGGCGAGTTATCCTTTATCAATGTTTCCCGTTTTCTGAGGTTCTACAAGCGCGGTGGATTTGAATGTTATATAGCGCAATATGAATTAAATGGGGTTTTTAGGAATGACAATGATGTGCACAGTACATAATCAGGTATATATTTACCAATTTTATTTTGCAGAGTCAAAACTAGGGCATGCAATGAAAATCATATAAGATTGCACTGTAATTAAAGAAACAAAATTTATTTACAGGAAAAAAGAATACAGTAAATGCCATTCTATAAGAGTAAGCAGTAACTTACATAAAACTCAAATCATTCTTAAATGTGCCAACTCTTTAAGATTAATAACTCAGTAAGACCACACTAAAACATATATTTTCAGTGATCACCATTAGCCCTCTACTTCAAGAACCTCATCTGTCAAGTTGTGAAAAAATTTTGCGTGATTAGATATACCTGCAAGCATATCTTAAAAAAATATCTTCAGAGGGCAAAAATTTGACTCATGACCCTGAACGTTTGAGGCACTCAGATGAGAAAAGAGCTCCATTTACAGTTTAAGTTTTTAAACTATTTCTTTCTTTGGTTTTGAAGAGAATAATTTTGCTGAATACTCTTTCACATTCAACCCAAAATTATCGTACAAACCGTACGATAATAGAAAATGTTATCGTACATCGTGACGAAGATGAATTTATCTTTTACTTTTTTTTACTTTTATCCTCTTCGCCACTGATCGGCTTGTTAGCCGCTTGGGCGATCGGTCACGTCTCTTTTCATTTATATTCTTCACCAAAAGATCGGCTCGCTAGCCGCCCGGGCGATCGGTCACGTCTCTGTCACGCACTGTTGGCAAATACTGGGCATGCACCGGCTCCTGAATGTACCTGAACCCGCTCCAGTGTTGGTCAAGTCTTCTCTTGAAAGAGCTCACACTCGGTGCCGTCACAACACTCTCTGGTAGATTGTTCCAAGAGTTTACAACCCTCACTCCGAAAAAGTTTGCCCTCACGGTTTTCTGGACTTGAGGCTTCTTCAATCTTGAGCTGTGACCCCTTGTGGGGCGAGCGCCCGCCAGCTCCAAGTAAGGACACTCAACTGAGTAGTGCCCCCCTGAGATGCTTATACGCCTCAACTAGGTCCCCCCTTGCCCGTCTGTAGTATAAGCTAGGCAAGTTCAGGCGCTCCAATCTCTCAGGGTAGCTGAGGTGCCGAAGTGCAGGCACCAGTCTGGTGGCCCTCCTTTGAACATTTTCAACCAACTGACAATCCCTAGCATATCTCGGGGACCAGATGAGGTGACAGTACTCCAGATGGGGAAGCACTTCACTCCTGAAGATCGTCACGAGGGACGGACCGTCTAGATATCTGAACGACCTTCTTATAAGACCCAATAATTTATTTGCCTGATTTACCTTCTTCTTACAATGGCCCGAGAACTTCAGCTCATTGTCAACATACACACCTAGGTCCTTCTCACATACAGTCTCAATTACTGCATTTTCTTCATCCCGTTGGGACATATGATACGCCTCCTTACCGTTGGTACGCCCCAGGTGCATCCTCTTACACTTCGTGACATTGAATCTCAGCAGCCATTTCTTCGACCATTCCTGGAGCCCACAGAGGTCCTTCTGCAGCTCTTCACAGTCCGCTTGGTTCTTAATTTCCCGAAATAACTTGCCATCATCGGCAAACATTTGTATGGAGGAGTGTACAACGTCAGGCATGTCATTTATGAAACAAACAAACAACAGCGGGCCCAATACACTGCCCTGTGGTACCCCACTTGTTACAGGTGCAGATGACGATTTCGTGCCATTAATCACCACACACTGCTTGCGGTCATGTAGAAAGTCTTCTATCCACGCTAGAACATTTCCCCGAATTCCGTACCCTTCCAGTTTGATTTTCAGCCTTTCGTGGGGTACACTGTCGAAAGCCTTGGCAAAATCTAGGTAAATATTGTCGATATTACCACCCCGTTCTAGAATATGGGTCCAAATATCCAATACCTTGAGCAATTGTGTCAAGCAAGAGCGCCCCGGCATAAAACCGTGTTGGCAATCTTTTACAAGGTTGTTTCGTAGTAGATGTTCCATCGCTGCATCTCTGATAATACTCTCAAGTACTTTACATATTATGCTGGTCAGGCTCACCGGTCTATAGTTGTTCGTGGAGTGACTATCGCCCTTCTTGAAGATAGGACTCACATAAGCCACTTTCCATTCACTGGGGACCATTTGTTCATCCAGGCATTTACAAAACAGGAGCTTCAGGGGCTCTGCAAGCTCGTTGCACAGCTCTCATACATGCAAGTAAATCACTGTAGGTGCGCGTGATCTAGTTATATGCTGATAACCACAAGGAAAGAAGAAAACACGAAGTTCCCAAGCGCTTTCGTGTAATTGAAGATGTGAATTACACGAAAGCGCTTGGGAACTTCGTGTTTTCTTCTTTCCTTGTGGTTATCATACATGTATGATAATTATCATACATGTGACAACTCTGCTGCTTCAATATGATTGGCCAGCCAATTCAAATGCTATGATACCTGAAGGTCATGTCATGTCATGTCATGTCGCGAAGAGGAGGAGACAAGTGACTGGCAACATGGCGGGTACAGAAATTTACTCCTAGAAATTTTGTGAAATGTTCCGTTAATATTGATTTGCACTTTTACTTTTTTACTTTTATCCTCTTCGCCACTGATCAGCTTGTTAGCCGCTTGGGCGATCGGTCACGACTCTTTTCCTTTATATTCTTCACCAAAAGGTCGGCTCGCTAGCCGCCCGGGCGATCGGTCACGTCTCTGTCACGCACTGTTGGCAAATACTGGGCATGCACCGGCTCCTGAATGTACCTGAACCCGCTCCAGTGTTGGTCAAGTCTTCTCTTGAAAGAGCTCACACTCGGTGCCGTCACAACACTTTCTGGTAGATTGTTCCAAGAGTTTACAACCCTCACTCCGAAAAAGTTTGCCCTCACGGTTTTCCGGACTTGCGGCTTCTTCAATCTTGAGCTGTGACCCCTTGTGGGGCGAGCGTCCGCCAGCTCCAAGTAAGGACACTCAACTGAGTAGTGCCCCCTGAGATGCTTATAAACCTCAACTAGGTCCCCCCTTGCCCGTCTGCACAAGAAATGATATGAAGTCGTATGTTTTATTTTTTTTTGTAGCTGTAATATTGAAAATTGAAATCTTGCGGACAGCCAATGGATGAATATTAACATAAAATATTATAGTTCCATAATATTTTTTTTAATAATAGAAAATAAGGGAGAAAGGGAACACGGTGTTCTTACTTTCACTTCTAGCGAGAATAAATGTCCCTCATTCATTACTGTACAGAGAGACATAAATAAAGCCAATTATGCCAAACTGAAATTACCCTAAGATCTTAATGTTACATAAAGAATATTTATCTCAATTATATATATTTTATTAGACCTGTTTATATATCTAGCAGTATTATTTATCTTTTCTGAAATACGAAAAAGAATTTAAATCACCAACATACTGTAGTTTACGTAACTATTAAATACAATTTCAACCTTTATATATCTTTAATAGTTTAATAAAACCATTAAATATATATAAAATTATATATTTAAATAAGAGAACTGTGCGTTAGATACATGAATAATGAAAAAAAAAGTTATCACCATTAAATTAGTTTCTTTAGGTTGTTTGTGGTGTTTAGGAGGACAGCTGATCACTCCTCACAACTCAGACCAAATTTCCCATTCAAGTTTTTTCTCTCCCCTTACCATGTGATAAACAATCAGGTAAGGTCCTAAAACGTATATTAAAACCACTAATTAAACCTGAATTAATTTTAAAACTAGAATAAAGTTACGTAGTTGTAGATGAGATACGAATGGTGACTTGTTGTGCTTGTATAATAATTGACCTTTTTGAGTGAATACATAATTATTTATTTGTATATTGAGGGATTAAATAAGTATATGATGTGAAAGAGTGTGTTTTGGGGGTATTATTTAGCGAGGGAGATGAGTTATGTATAATGGGTTAGTGTTATGTTGTTTACGTGTATATTAAGGTCAAGTTCTTTCTGGGTTTGTGTTATTTGACCTGTTCTTGATATAGTTTGATCTTATTTGACCTATTTTTGACATATTTTGACCTTATTTGACCTGTTTTATATAGTTTGACCTTATTTGACCTATTTTTGACATATTTTGACCTTATTTGACCTGTTTTATATAGTTTGACCTTATTTCACCTGGGTTTTTTTATAATTTGACCTTATTTGACCAGTTCTTGATATAGTTTAGCCTTATTTGACCTGTCCTGTCTCCTAAAATATTAAAATTACCCAAACTAACCTAGCCAAAGGTAATTCTAACCAACCTAACCAATTTTAATATATTTTAACCTAACCCAAATAAAACCAAATCTAACCTAATAATCTTGTGGTCATTTTTGGTTAGGTTAGGTTCTTAACAATGAAAATATAGTGTTAGTGGATTATTTATATTATTTTCTTTTATAATTTATCTCTATAATCAGTCGCTTGAATGTCATTTTTATTTGAATTTTTTTTACCCAAATTAATTTTTAGCTGTGTAATTTATTTATTTGTTGCTTGTGTTTACTTTGTTATTTTTAGTTATATTTATAATTGAATGTTACTCTGGGTAGCTTCAGATGACCGATTAAATGTCGAAAAAGTCTGAATTACTAATACAGTCGAGTAACACTTGAAATGTTGGATACTGTACAAGAATAAAGGACTATTTCTTAAGCAGTTTTAGTGGATATATATATATTTTTTTTTACATAGATCATTCTGTTCATTGTCATCCTCGCTGCAATGTTCAGTTACTTAATTGATGTACTGCACATCATTGTCATCCCTAAAATCCCATTTAATTCATATTACGCTATATAACATTCAAATCCACCGCGCTTGTAGAACCTCAGAAAACGGAAACATTGATAAGGATAACTCGCCTACTCAATGTGAGGGTTGTAAACTCTTGGAACAATCTACCAGAAAGTGTTGTGCGGCAACGAAGTGTGAGCTCTTCAAGAGAAGACTTGACCAACACTGGAGCGGGTTCAGGTACATTCAGGAGCCGGTGCATGCCCAGTATTTGCCAACAGTGCGTGACAGAGACGTGACCGATCGCCTGGCAATAGCGAGCCGACCTTTTGGTGAAGAATATAAAGGAAAAGAGTCGTGACCGATCGCCCAAAGGCTAACAAGAAAGCTCGATCAGTGGCGAAGAGGATAAAAAGTAAAGCATGTGTTGTATTGTACCCAGGTACAGTTATATCATATTAATTGTATGTATTCATAGCATTAAGGAGAACTCAGGGTATCCATAAGATGAATGTTAAAGTCCAGTTGAGCCGGACTAGTGTACTGTAGGACTAAGTGTGGATCAGGGTTTGAAGGTCATACTATTTACGTCTGTGAGCGTGTAGCGAACATAACTTCCACAGATATCATATGAAAATACATGAGAACAATGATCTGGAAAAAGGATAAATGTATCAGAACTATGTGAGGTGTTGACAGTGATCTAGAAACTATACTGGAAAGGAAATATCGTGTATGCGTCGGTATGAATTTAATACACCTCGTAGCCTCACGTGACATATACCCACGACAGGTACAGTGATCAGAGAATCTTATGTCTGTGTTCAAATAGTGCAATGTGTGAGAGGAGGATCCCTCATTACAGTTTTTAAGTGAAGTTGATACACCCCCGCCATGATCATTCGGCTTTTGTTTCAAGGCGCGTCATGTACCCGCCTCAGATGCCCCGTTGATATTAAAATCCCAGGCATTTAACCAAGCACTAGCAAACCAAGACCTTACCTTAGTGTGTAATTTAGGATTAATATATGTGTTTATAAGAAATGAGTGACAATATACCGTAAAGTGTTCAGGTGAGAACCATAAGAAACAAAAGTGTAAATTGAGGATTGGAAACTGTAGGCCTATGTGACGAGAAGCGGCGGGAAGCCGGCCTTAGTCTTTCCCGTTCTGCCGTCACCACAGGTCAGTGTCCTAGCGGGCTATATCCCGCCCTACAATTAAGGTTGATAAATAGCAGTTACTACAGTTTAAAGCTTTGCCGGATATATAAGTGTGATAGGGATGTGTTAAGGGGTGGGATAACCGCCCGTCAGGCATTATTTCTCAGTCCTTCCCGTTCTGCCGTCACCGCAGGTGCCATGTGGTCGGAGTATCTTGCCGCCCGGCCGCCATTGTCCCCTTGAGCGTCACAACAGGTGGGGATTACTCCCCGCTATACCAGTCCACTGTGAACCGGTGGATTCCCAGCGCACCACTCCACATGAATAGTCACAACTAAGGAGACCGTGAGAAACTGCGGTCGTCACTTGGAGCGACCTATAATACCAGGCGTAGAAATAGTGCTGGTATGTCTCTAGGTGGAGCCCTCGTCTTTACCCACCGAGGGCGGTGTGCGAACGAGGTGCCTGTTGTGTATACCTAAAAGTCACAAGGAGTCACATACTTGCAGGTATGGAGTGTAACAGGTGTGTTGAGATGGTGCTACTATGTATGATAACCGACGGTGCTAAAATCCACACCAGTGGAACAGTCTGATGTGTTAAGGGATATTGTAAGAAGGAACGACCGAGATACGGCGTTCACCGATTGTTATGCAATAAGTGGGTGGATGACCCGCCAGTAATGTAGGAGTCTGGGGCCCAGCTGGGTAACCAAAATTCCGTTGTTCTTCTGAGGAAGGCCAATTCATGTATATGTTTTTTTACCAGTATGTTTTATAAGGAATAAATCAATTAAGACATGTTATGGTTTCCCCCTTCTTTACCCTCATCGATCTGGTCAATGGAAAACCTAACCAATGCCTAGTCCACTCTGCCCGCTACCTAACGAGCTACATGCTGTCCAGAGGGGGTCTGGTGGCAGCGACCCTTAGAAAGTAAGATTAGAGTTAAGTTATCCCCTTAGATTTAGTGACCCCAGATCTGGCAGTATAAATTGGTGGCAGCGGTGGGATGGTTTTTAATCATTGATCAAATCCGAGGGAATTGAAGCTGGAATTTAAGTTGCAGAAATAGACAAGTATTTTAATGATGGATTATCTGATTTTTGAGGGATACTTGCATGTGAATAACATTGATTGAGTACAGAAATGTAAGAAGAATTTTTTTTGAAAATTTATGCAGTACTGAAGTCATGTGTGTCATTGACGTGTTTTGTGTTTGTGTTTTATCCAGTGTTAATATGTATTAATACTTGCAGAAGTTGTGGATTAACTTGGGTGACGTTGAAGTAAGGGAGTCCACACTGTGTCTGAGAAGTGTCTCAAGTGGTTCACCTATGGAATACCATAGGACTTTCGGTCTCCAGTTGATGTGAGTTATAATTTTTGGTGCCATGTTAAGAGGTTGCATAGTGTTGTATTATACCATTGATCAATTAAGGTTGTAGTAGTACAGGAGAGTAGTTGTGTTAAGCGGTTCGTATTTGTCTTGGGCCGAGAGGTAGCACTTTAGGTCAAAATGGCTGAGTCAGTAGAACAGGGAAGTACCATAGTTGGGGACACATTGGCAGAGAGATTGGAAGAGGCTTTGCTGATCAACGCGAGACAATACTCGGCGTTAGAAGAATCACAGACACAGGTTAAGGAACTAAAACAAGAACTCCAGGAACTAAAACAAGAACTCCAGCATGCAAAGAACCAAGACACTGATCTAGAGTATGGTGTAGGTAGGGACACAAACCCAACTGACCCACCGGCAGAAAGTGCCCACTCTGTACCACAATCAGGGAACGATACCACACACCCAGGTAGCCTTAGAGTTGATCCAGGGGTTCTTCCCAAACTAACGGACATGGCCAAGAGGGATGATAGGGAAACAGCCGTGTTCAACCTTAGTTATGTTAGAACGTTATCATTGGAAACACTAACAGGGCCGGATTCTGAGAGCCATATTAGAACTTTTTGTAGACAGGTAGAGTGGTTACTGAAGCAGGATGGCCATAGGGTAGAAGCGGCTCTAAGCAGAATGGAGTATTCCGTAGAACAGAGGGTTCTACAGGAATTGGATAGCAAGAAGATGTGGGATTGGAACACCCTTAAGCAAGCTTTGACAAAGTTCGACACAGGCCAGAATACTCTGAGTAAGGCATGGGAAGGTTTTATGAGAGAAGAATATCATGTAGAGGACGAGCCGGGAATATGTGTGGAACGAATGAAGTATAAGCTGGCAGCCATAGAGAGTAAGTTTGAAGTGATACAAGGGAAGGATCAGCTGATGAAAGATGTATTGTATGAGGGATTGCCAGGGCAAATGCAGAGAGAGTTAAGAAGATACCACCGGTTAGGCATATCCTTAGAGCCCTTTTTGAACGAGTTGACAAAGTGTAGGGAATGGTATTTGAGATCACAGGGCAGGGGACAGCAACATGTTAGACAGACCCGCCAGGGACCAGTACCAGAGGATTATAGAGTCCAGGGAGACTATCATAGGAACGAGACTGACGGAAGACCGGATCGGAACACGAGGGGGAAGGAAAATAACACTCAAGGTTGGACAGGAAATGAATGGTGCGGATATTGTAAGAAGGATACCCATAGTCCGCATAATTGCCCCTCCAGACCCAGACCAGGTTCATGTTATGCGTGCCTGAGGATGAACTGTAAGAGTTATTTCGCCACTTGTCCAGGACGCCAAGCTAGGAATCCCCCTTCGGGCCAATGACCACGACATCCGTTCCCACGCAGTTCTCCATGTATTAAGTTACCTATATGTGGACATACTTGTATAGCATTGGTTGATACGGGTAGTGAAGCTACTATCATTAAAGATAGCTTGGTTAGTGCCTTGAAGGTGGGGCCCATTAGGCCTTGTACCCAAAGATATGTAGCTATTAACGGGGAAGAGTTTAAGACCCTAGGCACTGTTGTCATCAGTGTACAGTTGTCCCGTAGGAAAAGAATCCGTCACCAAGCCGTAATAGTGGAAGATAACATGTTGGATACTGATGTATTATTGGGAGCAGACTTTTTAGGCAGATTTGGAGTTTGGTGGCATCACGAAAAAAATCTGTTCAGTTGGGGGGGGGGGTCATAAACAAGTTTATTGGACACCAAGTCATGGAGGAAAGTTGCGAACGGTTGTCAAAGTCAAACAGTTCACGAAGGCTTCGATCTTATCTTCCCCCGAGGAGCTAACTAACTTACACATTGATAGGAAGACTACAATAAGTGGGCACAGTTCTCAGATTAGGCCAGTTAAAGTGAAGGTAGGGGTAGGTCAGACCATAAGTATCAGATTTACGCATAAGGGGCTGAAACAACAACCGGATATGTGTGTGATAGTCCAAGATGATTCCTGTGTTTATGTTCCTATGAGTAATGTTTCAGAGCAGCCAGTTTGTTTGAGTCCGGGTGCGGTTTTAGGTGAATATGAAGTAGTTAATGATGAGGAATTCTGTTACTTTGATGATGAAGGGAATTATCTCGGAACTATCTCACACATTTATGAAGAGTTAGGTGAGGTAGGCCGGTCTGTAGACATACCCCTGTGCTCACCACATCACCTGGCCATACAGAGAGAAGATGATAAGAGGTCTAACAAAATCCCCTTAAGACTGACTCATGATGTGAAATTCCCAACTCAATGCTTACTTTGTAGGGGTATGGAAAATTCCCCAGTCCACAAAATTAGACGAGCTCAGGAAGTACTAAATTCTATGGTACCAGACTGTGATGAAGTGAAACGTGGGGAAACTAGACAGGACAAATTGAAAGAGTTAATTAGGACCCAGCAATGGCCACACTTAGATAGGGACATGCGGACACACTTGCAACAGGTGGTAATGAATCATGATGCGTTGTATGTATTAGGTCCAAATGAAATAGGCACCATTAAGGGTTTGCCAGCTAACATCCCATTGGTTAATGAACAACCTGTAAGAGGACCTCAGTATAGGTATCCCGAGAAAGCCAAGGGTACTATTAAAGAAATGATGAGAGACATGAGAGATAGGGACATCATTGAACCATCAACCGCTGTCTGGCTATCACCTATCGTGTTAGTAACTAAACCTAATGGGTCGAAACGTATGTGCCTTGATTTCCGAGCAGTCAACAAACACCTGAAAATAGATATACAACCTTTGCCAAGATTGAATGAATTAGTTGAGAAGGCTGCCGGAAATAAATATTATGCCACCTTAGATTTGAAAGATGCTTACTATCAGGTAATTCTTGACCCCCACAGTAGAGATATAACCACCTTCAGTGATGGGTATAATTTATGGCGGTTCAAACGCCTCCCTTTTGGTTTGTCAGCCAGCCCAGCCGTTTTTACGAGGGAAGTAAACAGGGTCTTAGCTCCTTTAGCAGAAGAAGATTGAGTCAGGAACTATCTAGATGATGTCATAGTGTGGGCTCCTGATTTCAATACCCTCATGGGCAGATTGGCTAAAGTATTTGACAGGTTTGTAAATATGGGAATCAAATTAAACCTATCTAAATGTCAGTTTGGTCAGAGACAAGTAAAATTCTTAGGACATATTGTTTCAGAGAAAGGCATTGAGCCGGATCCAGAGAATGTAAAAGCAGTAACAGACTGTAAACCACCCACTAATGTCAAACAAGTCCGACAATTTTTAGGGATGTGCGGGTTTTATCGTAAACATGTTTCAAATTTTGCTAAGATTGCATATCCTATCACAGAACTCACTAAGAAACAAGCTGCCTTTGCCTGGACCGATGAATGCCAGACAGCTTTTGAAACGTTAAAGCGGACATTAGCTTCCTTTCCAGTACTAGTAAAAGTGGACATGGATAAACCATTTGAGCTACACAGTGACGCTAGTAATTTCTGTGTAGGAGCCTCACTAAATCAATTACAGGATGACGGTTCTTTGCGTCCTGTTGGGTATTTCTCTCGGAAGCTAAAGCCCGCGGAAACATGGTATTCCACCACCGACCAAGAAGCATTGGGGATAGTGTTAGCCTGTAGATTTTTCCATCATTTTCTGTGGGGTTCCCAATTCACCATCAAGACTGACCACCAGCCGTTAACGTCTGTTTTTAACAAGAAAACTAAAAGTCAAAGAATGAATGGATGGATGTTGGAAATGAAGGATTTCATATATAAGATAGAGTACAAACCTGGAAAGGCAAATCTAGTCGCGGACTCATTGAGTAGGCCGGTAGGGGCCCTAAGGAAAGTAGCCAGGAGTAGGATAGTAGGTCAGCTCCCTCAGCTAGATGGTTTAACGCCTCGGCAGTTAGGAATAGAACAAAGAAAAGACGAGAGGTGGGAAACATTGGCTAGTTATTTAGAAGGAGGACAGGTACCCAAACATAAATATCCAAAGACGACTATTGACAAATTTGAAGTAGCGGAGGGGGTATTGTATTTAGTAAAGGAACAAATTGACAAAGCATTGCTGTACTGCCTTGTAATACCTGATCATTTGCGTAAAGCAGCACTAGAGTGGGCACATAACAGAGAGGCCTCAGGGCACTTAGGACAGTGGAAGACTATAGCCAGAGTAGAAGGCCTTTTCTATTGGCCAAATTATCGCAGAGACTGTGTGAAATTTGTAGAATCATGTGAAGTGTGTCAAAGGTTCAAAGGGACGAAAGGGTTAGAACAGCAATGGCAGGGGATGTCAGAAGTAACTAAACCTTTGGAGAGAGTATCTGTGGACTTGACAGACTTACATAATAGTGCGAAGGGGTATCGCTATGTGTTGACCGTCATAGATCACTATTCTAGGTTTGTCAATTTCTACCCGTTGAGAACCAAATCCACTCAGGAAGTGACCACGGAATTTAGTAAATTCATTCATGTCTTTGGTAGCCCTGGAGTAGTCATTGCAGATAATGGAGGGGAATTTACAGCAACACAATTTAGAGAACTATGTAACGTAACTGGCATTAAGAACTATTTTACATTGCCTTACCACCCTAGAAGTAATAGTGTCACAGAGAGAATGCACAGGACCTTTAAAACAACACTTGCAATCATGTGTGAAGATAATCCACTTCAGTGGCCAAAATTTCTCAGTCCCGTGCAGTCGGCTCTGAACACGTCTGTCCATGCCACCACTGGAGTACGGCCTCATTTTGCTTTCTTTTCAAGGCATGTACAAAGACAAGTAGGAATTGACTTACCTATAATAGAGAGTGAGAGCAGTCAAGAGTTGAAAGAAGCCCATAGGTTGATAAAAGAGATGTCTGCCAGGATGTCACGAGAGACCAGAGAGAGAGCAAATAGATCAAGAACGAACCAAACTATGCAGTTAGGAGAAACAGTATGGGTGAGGAATGAATGGCCCAACCCTGGGACCAGCAGGAAGTTGAATACCAAGTGGAAGGGTCCGTACACGATAACAGAAATTATACGAGATGGTGCCGCATATGAGTTGACTAACCCCTTGGATGAAAGTGAGGTGATAAAGAGTGCGGCTGAGAAAGTAAAGAGGTATGTAAGTAGAGACATGTTTGTTTAGCTGAATGAGCCCTTACTTCCACCCTGTGGTTCTTCCTCGGACTCGGGGTCAGACGAAACAGATGAGGAAAGTGATGACGGAAATGTGGAAGGTCAACCTGCAAGTAGATTCCCTGTGAGGCAGAGGAGACCAGTAGTTAGAATGGATTTGTAGGAAATCTAGTTCCAGAATGTTGCTTCAATTGAATATTATTGGCTTTCCAGTTGTTAGGTTGATTTGTTGAATTATAAAGTTTTGGGCGGGGGGAGACAGTTGCTCAGATGGTTTGTCGGGATGCTTTTTGAAGATCAACTATTTGTAGGCTAGTGGTGGATGCTTTTTGAAGATCAACTATTAGTAGTGGTCTCTATATTGTCAGAAATTTTTGGTATCAATCAATTCTAAGTCAATCAAGATTGCTGCCTATGTTGTCGAAAAGAAAAAATCTCAGTTTATGTGTGTCGGAAGTTTTGTTTGGGTTGTTGACTCGCTCCGGGTGAGGGAGTCACCCCGACTTTCAAATACCAGTTCTTTTGAACTGTGAGATAGAAAATACGGGTTTTGTGTTATGAGCCCCAAAGTGTATGTCTAGAACCATGGTTTTGTGTTGAAAAGGTGAATTATTATTGAAAGGAAGTAGTAATCTGAGGAAGTGTCTGATGTAACTAATTCCCCATTCATAGACAAGAATTTAAATTCCTTAGGATATGTAATTTCATGCAGAGAACTTTTGTTGTAGATGTAATGTCAAAGAGTCACTGTTTATGTGCTGGTGCCAAAAGTAGGTTGAGGTATTACGCTGATGAACTGTTAAGGGAATGTTCCCTATACTATATTGTACTGAAATAAGAATTGATAAGTTGTGGTATGTATAGGTAACGGAGACTCGAGTATGAAAAGTTTGTCTCCTTATAATTTTCTTTTTACTGATATATTGTATACCGAACTAGCAGGATTGTAAACGGTTGTCTGATGTATATGGTAGCGGAGACGCTCGTAGGAAACGTTTAAGTCTCCTTATGTTTTGTGTGTTGGATTAAGGTACTCTAATCATGAACTGTTAGGATGTTGTAAAATGTATGTACACTACAGCGTTAGTGCTTTGCATATTATTTCGCATAATATGAATCTTTGGGAGGGGAAGGCTATGTACTGCGCACATCATTGTCATCCCTAAAAATCCCATCTAATTCATATTACGCTACATAACATTCAAATGCACCGCGCTTGTAGAACCTCAGAAAACGGGAAACATTGAGAAAGGACAACTCACCTACTCAAGGTTCCTAGACCATGTGTTGTATTGTACCCAGGTATAGTTATATCATATCAAGTGTATGTAATCAT